GCGGCCAGCGCCCCCTCCTCCTTCCCCACGGCGGCCAGCGCCCCCTCCTCCTTCCCCACGCGGCCAGCGCCCCCTCCTCCTTCCCCACGGCGGCCAGTGCCCGCTCCGGCCGCAGCGGCTATCCCCTCCTACCTCCCTAGGGGAACAGAGGTGAGACAGGGGGTGGGGGGGGGGGGGGGGCATGACAGCTGGAACCTGCTCTCCTTCATCTATGCTCAGAGCTCCCTCCTAAGTCTCCCAAGATAAACTAAAGCTATTTCGAAGAACAAACATCTCATTTCAATCACAACTCATCCTCTCCCTCCTAAAGGAAATGCAAAGGGGCCCTCACTTGAGCGATCACTAAGCTGAGCTGCCTTCCCCAGAGAGAAAAAGGCAGAACAGACGCTAAAATGAAGCCCACGCCCAGGCTGAAAAAATGCGCTTTTCTTCCCCAAAGCTGCCGAATGACCGCAAGAGAAAGCAACCGTGCTGTCCGCGACGAAGGCGCAGCCAGGCCCCCCCGAGTGACCCGAAGCTCCACGTACTTGGGGGCTCCTTACAGATAAACACATTGATTTTAAACCTGCTTTTTTCTCAACCTACTTTGAAGACATTGCCATATTAATATTAAAAGGCCCTTTCTGGCCAGGCGTGGTGGCTCACACCTGTAATCCCAGAACTCGGGGAGGCCAAGGAGGGAGGAAAGCTGGAGCCCAGGGCTTCGAGGCCGCAGTGAGCTATGACTGTGTCACTGAACTCCAGCGCCGGCAACAGAGCAACAGAGCAAGACTCGTCTCAAGGAAGAAAAACAGAAGACAAAACAAGCCTCTCCTTGGCTCTCAGCTAAGCTCCCAGGTAAGTGGCCCCGTGGCCAGAGGCTCAGGTTGCTGTGTGACCCCAACAATGGACAATGAAGCTGCAATGAATAAAAATCCTTTTCTTTTTTTCTAAGATGGAGTCTCAGTCTGTCACCCGGGTGGAAGCGCAACCTCCGCCTCCCAGGTTCAAGCCATTCTCCTGCCCTGCTTTCCCAAGTAGCTGGGATTGCAGGAACACGCCACCGTGGCTGGCCAATTTTTGTATCTTTTTAGTAGAAGTGGGGTTTTGCCATGTTGGCCAGGCTGATCTCATCCTGACCTCAGGTAATCTGCCCACCTCAGCCTCCCAAAGTACTGGGATTACAGGCGTGGGCCACCACACCCTGCAAAAATCATTTTTCACAGACGGTAAAAATTTCCTTGGAAAAGCAAGTCAAACAAAATGTATTTCCATTACCAGAAAAATGGCAACAAGCCCAGGCTGTCACACTCTGAATGTCTGACCTGGAGCTTCCAGGCACCCCCAGACCAGGAACGGCCCTGAGAGCAAAGGGGGGCCACATCTACACAGCCGAGCCCTCTCCATCCCCAAGGGTGGCAGCGCCCAAGCAGCTTCCCAGTGCTGCCACAGAGCCCCCCCAGAGCCGGCTTCCCACCGCACTCAGCACTCCCTCCACAGAGGGCACAGCCGTGCAGCTGCCATCAGTCCTTGGGTTCTCAGGAAGAACATCAGCTGTTAGATTTGAACTATACCCTGTGATGGCTGGGTGTGGTGGCTCACACCTGTACTCCTAGCACTTTGGAAGGCCGAGGCAGACAGATCACCTGAACTCAGGAATTCGAAATCAGCCTGGCCAACCTGGTGAAACCCTGCCTCAACTAAAAACACAAAAATTAGCTGGATGTGGTGGCATGTGCCTATAATCCCAGCTACTCTGGAGGCTGAGGCAGGAGAATCTCTTGAACCCGGGAGGTGGCAGTTGCCGCAAGCCGAGATCATGCCACTGCACTCCAGCCTGGACGACAAAGCGTGATTTTACCTTAAAAAAAAAAAAAAAAAAAAAGTAATAACTGAAAACATTTGGGATCTGAAAAATTTAAGCCACGTTTTTGCAAGAAAATATCGCTGAGAGTAAGGAAGGGATTCTTAAATCAGAACAAGACAAAGAACATGTGTCTTCCAGGCCTGCTACGCTGCCCCCGACAGCCGCTGTGCCCTCAAGCTGGGTCTGCCCAC